GAAGGTAGAGTTCAGAGAAGGACTTGGTGAAGTCCCAGATGTGGGGATGGATGACCTCATGCAACACAGCAGGCTTCAGGTGAATCAAGTTGCTGCCTTCGGCTATTTAACAGGGGGTGGCTACAGAGAGGCTGGAGCAAGACTCTCCTTGGAAATGCACAAACAAAGGACAAGCAGCTGGTTACAAGATGCAACAAAGGAAATTCCAACCAGATACAAGGAAGAAAGAAAAAATTTCCAGGACAGTGATTAACTACCAAAACAAAGACCCTGAGATATATATGGTGGAGGAATCTCCCTCCCTGGAGATGGCCCTGAGCAACTACATCAAAGTTGTCCCTCCTTTGGGCAGGAGGTTGGACTTGAGCCCTCCAAAGACCCTCCTAGCCTCAGCATTTCTGGGAAGAGGCTGGGCAGCAGCAGATGCCAAGAGAAACTTCCCACTATCTCCTACCACCCAGAGGTTTATCTTATCAAACAACTACAGTATCAGTGTTGTCCTCATGCCATTACACAGTGCGGGACATCTCCAGCCTGCAGGCAGGGAGACAAACTCTCCAGCCCCTAGAATGTTTTGGTGTTTGTTTTTGTGTTTTGGTTTTGTTTGGTTTTTTTTGTTTGTTTGTTTTTTTTTGTTTGTTTTTTTTTTTTAGTATTATTATGTAACTAGAGCAGCCCTAAGCCCATCCCAGTATCAGCATGAGCAGTTAGCTTTGTTCCTGGTGAATTTGCCTCGAGGTCTCCTCCCAACAGAATATGAACAACGGGCTTTTCCGAAAAGCACATTAGTAACCCGAGAAGTTACAGGGGAAGGTACCACTTCTGGTTTTGTCTGAAACCAGATCTTCCCTTTTTGACTTTTTTTTTTTTGCTTTTAATATTTTAAAGAAAAGGAGGAAGCAATTGTGAAGGAAAAATGCTAAACTTCTGACTTTGAATTTCACTAGTCAAAGACTGGCAAAATGCTAATATCTTGGCTTGGTAGTCCAAAGCATCTTAGGCATCAAAGCACAGGCCTTTAGGTGCCTACAGAATCATAGAATGGTTTGGGTTGAAAGGGACCTTAAAGATCATCTAGTTCCAAACCCTCTGCTGTTGGCAGGGGCCCCTTCCACTTGGCCTTGAACACTGCCAGGGATAGGGCAGCAACAACTTCTATGGGCAACCTGTTCCAGTACCTCACCACCCTCAGCGGAAAGAAATTCTTCCTAATATCTAATCTAAATCTCCCCTCTTTCAGTTTACAGCCATTGTCCCTTGTCTTATCACTACACACTCTTGCAAAAATTCCCTCTCCAGCTTTCTTGTAGCCTCTTTAGGTACTGGAAGGCTGCTAGAAGGTCTCCTCAGAGCCTTCTCTTCTCCAGGCTGAACAGTCCCAATTCTCTCAGCCTATCTTCACAGGAGAGGTGCTCAGATCATCTTCATGGCCTTCCTCTGGACTTGCTCCAACAGCCATGTCCTTCTTATGTTGAGGGCCTCAGAGCTGCATGCAGCACTGCGGGGGTGGGGGGGTGTCTCACAAGAGCAGAGTAGAGGGGCAGAATCCCCTCCCTTGACCTGCTGGCCACAATTCTTTGGATGCAGCCCGGGATACGGTTGGCTTTCTTGCCTGTGAATGCACATTGCCAGCTCATGCCACTGTGACTTTTGTCAATGGTGACCAGCTCAACTTCTCCAGCCTGTAACTCCCTTGCTTATGGCCAAGGGCCAGGAGGACACTCCCCAGACTTATCAGCCTCTCTTTAATGCTTAGCTGATTCAAACACACATTGTGTTCCTCACCCCAGTATGAGTTATTTGATACCTGAAAGAGACACATGAACTCTCCACCTTGCTTTTGCTTCACACCTCCCATGCACTTGGATTTGCAACCTTGGTCTCACTAAGCTTTTTGACAGAAACAGTCAAGCCCCATAGCACTGGTTTATAGGGCAACACCCTTTGGGGGAAAGATGCTTCATTTAAGCTCCTACAGAATAGCCAATAATTACTATTTAGCTGACACTGACAGGTCTTGGCAGCCCTGACATCCAGGACATCTAAACATGGCCAACAAGTCCTTCAGTATTGCACAGAACTTATCTGCCAGCCTGGCCTTCCTCGTTTGCTGCAGCAGAAGAGGCAAAGACAAGGCCTCCAGCTTCATGAGCTGAGCTCTCACTGGGAGTTGAACCACCTCAATTTTGGTCCAAGCATGGCCTTTTGGAGAGAAGCATGATGCTTTGATAGAAACAGGGAAGCTGTAGAGGAAAGCACAGCCTTGCAAGCATAAAATATTGCCAGCACTCATTTTGTGGATCCACCACCCCAGCCTTTGG